GCTGCTGCTGCTGCTGCTTCCGTGTAGTCGGTGGGAGCCGCAGCTGCTGTAACATCCCCCTTCTCGCGTGACTAGGTATATCATGGTTTAGTATTTCTATAAAAAAAAGTCTACCAGCACGCACACATACACGCACACCCACACACACACACACACACATACACACACACGCGCGCGCGCGCGCACGCACGCACGCACACGCACGCTGCACGCACACACACGCGGTATCTGCCCCGCGATATATCGTACATGCGTGGTGTACATACACGCTACTTATGTGGCAGCATATATGCACACGTGTTATATTTGCAGTATAATAATATGTACACCCCACGTAGGCCTATGTACCGTGTACATGCACACTATATGTGTTGCAGTGTACATATACACACACTACATATGTGACAATGTACATATATGACTACATATGTGGCAGTATACATAGATACACTACATAATTATGTAGCAGTGTACATACACAATACAAATATTGCAGTGTACATGCACGTGCTACATGTGTGGCAATATCCATACATGCTACATATGTGGAAGTGTACATACACGTGCTACATATATGGCAGTGTACATAAACAATACAAACATGGCAGTGTAAATACACGCGCTATGTCGCACAGTACCATAAAAATATGTATACTCATAACTGAACGTGAACCTACGTGTACTACTATAACACATACGTGGAGTGTACGCGGGTTCGCGGTGTAGTAACACGTAATCGGTCAGCACGCATTAGACTGCAAACGTCTCCTGTAGAGATTTAGCATTTCTGAGGGTAACTGTACTGAAGCGCGAGGAATAAATGTCTCCGAGATGAAAAGCACAAAGTATTTAAAACAGTAAATCTGTGAAGAAAAAGCGGCGGCACCAGTAGGTCTGTGAACTCATGTCACCTGTGTTGAGCAAAGCACTATATGTATTCCTAGCATGTTGTATATAGTGCTTTGCTGTTCGTACGGCAGAGCTTATATGCTCTGTAAATCTATCGACAGTGTAGCGGTGTGAAATGTATCTGTATATATATATATCTCAACCTTTAGCTATATTGTCATTCAGAGTTGGTCAGACTTGCACTTGTCGTTGGTCACCTTAATCAGAAATAATTCGTTTAAACGCGGTAAAATTCACCATCTTTGAGTAGGTATTAATTATTTTTACCGCAGGATAAAGTTAATTCCATTTGACTATGAATTAATGGTTTATACCGCTGTGAAGTTTATTATATTTGAGAGCTGATTAATTCATTGTATCGCAGTAAATGTGATAATTTATGAGAAAGATGACTGGCGACGTGTGTTGCTAATTTTGCACCCGCTAATTTCTTGTTTAGAGCACGATATTTCTTGGATTGTTTGCTAGGATTTGTGATTGTATTTACATGTTGAATGATACACTGCACTTTCTCTTTCTCTCTGTATAGTGTACGTAATTCCTGGAAGAAAATGTTTTTACCGGAATCTAACAAGCAAACATTTTTAGCGCGGTCGAAAAAGATAGCTGAACAACTCGACAGTTTTTTTAGAGACATGTTTGCTGTCGTCAAGTCGTTAAGTCGTCAAGTCGTCAAGATTTTACATCGGTGTATACGAATTCTATAGTAATAATCAAATGATCTTAAATCATGTCTTTGCGTGACAGTCTGTCAAAGTTTGATGTGAATCGTTTTTTCCCAAAGTGGTATACTAGATTATTTTCAATGTTAGATAGAAAGTTTATATATTCATATCTATATATATATATTTACACAGATCGTGTACCCATTATGTAGATGTAGAAGTAGTACACCTCTAATTGTTCGGTTCGCTAACGTTCTTCCATCGGGGAAGGATAACTGTAAGAATCATCATTAGTCGATCCACGCGTCGACAACAACTCTTTTTTGTAATTATGACACACCGAGAGAAAATAATAGAGCAATGGGGGAGTGAAGGGAATGCCTACTGTGTGCTCCTGCGTTGATGGAATAACACAGACACGTGGCGTGGCGTAGCAGTGGCGTGTACATTGACTCATCGGCGGGTCATCGAGTCCTATTACTCTCACCTGCGATACATTATTGGCAGTTGTGTGTTTGGCCGAGTGTTTGGTGTTTTACGGGGCGCGCGGGGATACCCGGTAGTTAGGCACAAAGGCGGTGTTAGTTAGGAAGAAGGAGATGGTTTTTTGTGAAAACAGAGCACGTGTCTGCGCAAAAGCACGCCATTCTGATACTCGGAAAGATGTTTTGCTTTAAGTGTGTCATCACTGGCAGTAAACACAAGACATTTGTATACTATACGCCAGAAGAGAAGCGAAGGGAACAACCTCTATTGTCTATAACCATGACCCCGTGTTCTCATTAAGGTCCGTATATGGATTGATAACGCACACTCACTCGCACGTCCGGGATCCGTGGTGAATTGAAACCCCAGGAACACGTGAGAGCGAGGCATCCGTCAGCATTCGCGCAACGGCATGCCCTGGCTTAACCCCATAGAGGCCAGCACTGGCTTCTTTAGAGAAGACTCCCTCGGTTGTGTCTCTGTTAACGGATGGTAATTTCCCGCGTGCCCGCGTGATGTTGTGCTACGTTGGATTCGCTGCACTCGCCATGGCCACACCCGGGTCCGAATGTACTAATAACGACAGTACACTGAGACTGAGTATGACCAGACCGAGGTCTGAAAGACTCTATGAGTAAGTGGAGTGAAACAAGAGTAGCCCTACAAGGCGATGAGAACGAGGGATGAGCCATGCCAAGGCGGTAACAGCAAGAGAAGCATCATATGCCACTCCACCCGCCTATCGATGTCAAAGCATAAGCTTTTAAAATAATACCTATACATTACCGGCGACTATCGACTTCCCCACTATAGATATGTTTGAAGCTGAACAACTCTGCTTTTCTGTGTCTCGTTTGTCTTGCGAACGTGAGCAGGGTGCGAATTTTTATACCCCGGCACCTTGCGCGTTCTTCCTCATGTAGTTATAAAGGTAATAAAGGAAAATTTAACCAGATAGCTAGTTAACACGTGTGCAGTCTTTAATTTTCGTCGTTGAAGCGTTTGTTAGTTAAGTAATTAAGCAAATAAATGTCAATGGATCGCAACGAATACTAAACACAAGATGCACGCAGATCAGATTTCATAAAACACTGCTCTTAATGGGTGTGAGCGTGTGTTTTTTTTAATTTCGAATTTTTTTTCGTTTTAATTTTAAAATTATGACGCATTTAAAGTATGTGAGTTTTTTAACGGTTTTATTTATTCAACGATTCCTTAACGTCGAATTGTGCATCACAGATTAGTTATTGCATATGGGAGCGTACCCACCCTGAGTAACGGATCGTTGCAAAAAAATAAGTCTGATAAGTAAAACATATATACACGAGGTTCGGAAAATAATTTGATAAAACGTTTTATTTCAGTATTATGGAATGTCGATTATGCTATGCTTATGTATTATATTACTGCCTTTGATATATAGCGCGTTATTATTGACATACTATAAACGATCGGTTTAAACGGCAATATACACAGAGCAAATACTTTATTTCGCCCTCACGCGAACACTTAAACCTCATGGGTTACCAGATATAAAATTAATCCTAAATGAATGAACACCTACAACTAGTAGGGTACACTATGGGTACACCTACAAGTCACGAATGTTGTTTCTCCTGGACGCTGATTGGCTGGCCCATGGCGGGCTTCTGGCTCGTGTTTTGGGTTCAAGGACAAACATGGCGGATGTCATAGCGTCGACAACAACATTACTGTGTATGAAAATGACTTCGAAGTTCGTAACGACGCGATACTGCAATATATGTGATATCAGTCTTCAGGTAGGGAGAGTTTACGCTATGCATATAATGCCGTTATAATAGAACCCGAGTAACCGTTGAGTAATTGTCAAGAGTGACAGATCGACGTAACAATATAGAATAGTAGCTACATATACGCGCACGTCGTGTTCACAACGATAGCACTGTACCCAACCGACCATAGAGCTATAATTTGAATAGAGTTCGGAGTTTCATATCGTATGTGTGTGCGTGCGTGCGTGTGCGTGTGCGTGTGCGTGTGTGTGGGTGCGCGCGCGCACGCGCGCGCAGCTCTTGCGTGGACATCCCATCGCTTCTGTCACCAGTAGGCTACTGAAGCGCTGGGTTAAACGGGTAGAGATTTAAAATTCAAAGTTCCGAGATAGTATGTCATGGAAGGAGATTGACTATGCTTACAGTATGACATAGATAGAGCTATATACACATATAGAGGTATTATTAGCTCTTGATATAGATATTGATTAATATTATAAACTGTTATACGACTAGGCCTACACTTATTTACAAAAATAGTTCACCCAGGTGAGTATGTGTGGAATACATATGAAGGAGATAAATCCCTAACGTGTTGATACTTTTCACAATGTATTAGGCAGATTTTCGTGAAAAGTAATCATTTTTAGATAACAAGTAAATGATGCGTAAGTAATCAAATGGAAGTTGGTAAGATTCTAAGTAGTCTTGGGTTTATTTCTACCGGTGTGTAGTCCCTTCGCTTCCGCTACCCGTAGTTGGAGCGAATGAGCTACACTGGTAGAGCTAACTTGGGTCGATCTCTCCCATGTAATTCCCATGCATGTATATGTTCACCCTCTCTACCTCTGCTACAGTTTTCGTTGTTTGATCATCTATGTGGCTTCTCATTTATTTACTAATCATACATTTTTACATACTACATAATAGTGGCAGGAACGTGAAACACTACACACTAGGCACTCTTGATAATCTATATAATAAGCAACATGTATCACTATGGCACGCATGCAGTACAGTGGTCTCCGGTTTATCGGGCCTCGGATATACGGGCGTATCGCCTAAACGAGACATGCCTTCGAAAAACAATCCTGACCACAGGCACTTGGATCGTTTCAATAAACTATAATGCTAAATAAATACGAAATCTATTTACTACCAATGTCTTAATGTTTCTCTACTCTCTTTCACCTATTATTGCCGACAATTTCTTGCAAATGCCGTCCAAATGCTCATCTGCAACAATTTGAACAAACGCTGGCTGCCGCCATGGCTGCCGCTGCACACTGACACATAAATATATAGTATTATATGATGAACTATATATTTATACGTCAGTGTGCAGCGGCAGCCATGGCGGCAGCCAGAGTTTGTTCAAATTGTTGCAGATGAGCATTTGGACGGCATTTGCAGAAAATTGTCGGCAATAATAGGTGAACGAGAGTATAGAAACATTAAGACTTTGGTAGTAAATATATTTCGTATATATTTAGCATTATATTTTATTGAAACGCTCCAAGTGGCTGTGATCCTGACGCACGCTGTTACGTATTCGCCGTTTAAACGGGACAATTACATATTTCCCGAACTGTCCGCTTATACTGATAAAGCGGGGACCACTGTATTATGACGAACTGCTCCTTGGGTTATTCACAGCGCACGACACTTTTTTCCGTTGCGATTTTTTACAGACCGCGCGCATTTTATTTTTTTATCGCTAACATTTTGAGATGCTTGGCACTAAGATCACCACCTGGTTTTCTCTCCACATTATTCTCGGTAAATTTGAGGATAGATGGCAGCACGTGATACACTAGAAGATGATCGAGGGATTACGGCTATATCGTCGGTAGTACACTAACGGATCGACCTTGTGACGAAAGTGTGTGTCAGACGCCGGCTTGTACGGATTAAACTCTGAAATGAAACACCGTAGGTAAAGTTTAATAGTTATATATATATATATATATATACATACATATAGGAAATACAGAAACTACATGAAATGATCATCGAACATAACCGATGGGGTTTCATGACGTCGCTCGACCCGTGTTTGACTATCGAATAGGGGGGGGAGGGCAGGAAGAAGAGCAAAAATCGAGGCCTTCGCAATAGAGATATAATAAACAATAATGAACATATAAAATGAACAACCGCGTGTCAGTGGTTTGCAGCGGCGACGGCGGGAGGGGGAGGGTGATCTAACAGCCCTGTACAGGGAAGGCTTACTGCTGTGTGTGGGCAGATCCTCTCTGCCGCTACGCTTCTTCTCGGGCCTAATGCCGAGCTCAGCCGGTGCCGACAACACCAGCCCTCCCCCGAAGAGCGGCGAATCTTGCGTCGCCAGCGACGAATCTTTGTCGCCGACATAAGACGCCGCGAACGTCTGTACATCTCTGGTGACGTCATCTCTGGTTAGTGCGAGCGTCTGCGAGTAGGTGCTGACGTCACACCTTTTGCCGCCGTAGCCAGGCGGGCACACGCACTGATAGACATTCGCCTGTGTAAATATAAACAAATAAATAAATGAATTAAAATTAATTAAATAAATAAATA